TCATAGCACGTTTGTTTCCAAATATGCATATACAAATCATATACCATGATTCAACATTTATGTGGTTTTGAGAAATGAATGGGAGAGTGACTGATAACAACCTTTATTGTTTAAACAACTGATGCAAAGCATAGTACATAACATCTGATTACTGACATTAAATCACTGCAGTCACAACATCCTGAATGAGAAACAATCTCAGTTATTTGTATAATTATATTTTGGCAGAAACATAACCTAGAGGGACAGTAGTCTTAGTCAAGCATCAGACCATACTGCATTGCCATTTTCTGCTTGGTTGGACTGAGATTGCTAGTAGAGAGATAGAATGGTTACATTTTTGTAAAAACAAGCACAAAGTCTTGCTATCCTAAGCTCCTGTGTGAAGCCAGTTTCCAGAGGAGTAGGTGAGATTTCTGCAGGAAGCTCTGCTTCTGCATCTCATAGTCTGGGATAGCATCTTGAGGCAAAGCTGACCTCCTCCTGCCCATGCCCCGAAGTGGCTGCATGCAGTTTGCTCAAAACCCCACACACCTGTGTCAGGATGGTGCTGAGTTCAAATTATTTCAACCTGCATCCTAAGGAGGTTTGGTAACCTGAGTCAAGCATGCAGTTAACCAAAATGAGGCAGCTTCTGATTTAGGGGAGGCTGCAGCTGGCCAGCTCTGCTGTTCAGTCTGCCTGCAGAATACTACCTGTACCCATCCAGACATCAGATAATTCAAGTGCTTCTGGCAGCCAAAGCTGAGAAGAGGAATGGTTGTTGTTGGACCTCTATCCGCAAGAAAAACCTGAAGAGATACTCTGTGAGCATAATACATAAAATTATCTGAAGAGCTGTATACTAACATTTCAAAACAAAACAAGATTTGGGTTTTTTTTAGATATTGAGTCAGGCTAATTTATAGCAAAACATCAGTCTAATATAACTCAGCATACCTTTGTTTTTGTTTTAAGTGCAGCTAGTATTTATATTTTGGGCTTGTGGGGTAGGTTTAATTCATTTAATTAATTTTCACTGCTTATCTTTATTTTTCATTTGCAGTTATTTGATACTGCAAGTAAAAGTACAAGTTTTCCTTTCCTTCTTCCACAGGCTAATAAAATACTTAAGGGTTTTTTAGAAGCCAGTACTCCAGAGCAAATTAATAAACAAGAGGAATAATTAATTCATTATTTATAGTAATGATATGGGTAGAAAAAATAGCCCTTAGCCAGATGTTTTGAATAGTTTAATTGTAAAGTCTTTTTTAGTATTTAAAACCAATATTTGATACTTTAGTTTAGTGTCTGATTCTTAAAAATAACTCTTAACTGCAAATAGTTTCCATTTTTATAAGTTAGAGACTTTGCCTAGCTTTGAATATTAATTCCATATATTTCAGTCTTTCTTTTCAGGTACAGAAAAAAATAAGATAAATTAAAAGAGGTTATTTTGGTTCCATAGAGAGCTGTTTTCTGGGGGTTTTATGTTATACTGCATAATACTATGTGAACCCTATTTCTGTATAAAAGTGCCATGCTATTCTAGGACATGTTTTAAAATGTTTATTAAGGGGGTGTGCACAACTCTAGGTGGGATGGCTGGTTTAATCTTCCTTTGAAAGAGGAAAAACATTCAGAGACTAGTTGCTGCAGAGGAAATGTGTAGACATTTAGCCTTGAACTGAGTTTGTTTTTGTGATTATTCCCACGTAGCTGACTGGAATAATATTTTGGTGGTAAAATCATGGTGATTCTGAAGTAAATGGTAAATTAATAGTAGCAGAGGACTCAGATGATTTGTCTTGGCTTAAAGTATCTTAAGACCAAGCCAATTTTGAAAGTGTAGCAGTTAAACACTCCTCAGAATGCATTTGGTGTGTTGCTGTTAGGCCATTTTTATATATATTTTTTTACAGCCCTTGGGCTTAGAAATCGACTCTTTAATTTGTCTGTATTTTCTATACCAAATTACTTATTTAGCAAGGGTTTCTAGAATAAGAGCATGTCATGAAGAGTGGACTGATACTTCTCTTGCAAAATTTCACAGGAGACGTTCCTAACCAGTGGTGACACAGTTGTAAAACCAGTAGGGAACATCCACATCAGCTATTGCTGGGTGCCTGCTGCAGAACAGGCTGGTCTGACACATCTGAAGCCTGAGAAGTGGCCAAGATCCTCCAGAGTCACTCCTTTGCTCATAGGTTTTTCATCCTTTGTCTGCAGTTTTGAGATCCCTTTTTTTAATGGAGCTACCTTAGACCACACAAGTCCTATTGTATAGGTGCTAATATTGGATATTCACTCTGCATCTGAATGTGATAGGTGTCAGACCAATTATTGCTAATAATTATAAGGTCTTTAAAGAACTGGTCACTAATGGAGAAGCAGTGTTTTTTAGAAAAGAAGGAACAGCATTAGGATATTTTTATGTAAAATGTCTAGTTTCTCTCAAAAGGATGCCTGAATCATTCCCCTGGGGTCCCAGATTCTGCACACACATTCATAATATTTTAAAACTTTTGCATATGATTGTCTTACTGTATCACTGTATGGTTGTCTGTGAAGTTGGTGAAGTAAAACAGAAGTGAATTATAGTAAATCTGAGAACTTGGAGACAAAATTCTTGGCAGTTGAGGCTAATGCTGCTGTGCATTCTTCTGTGCTTAATGGTCACATAAGAATAGGTATATTCCAGAAGTAAATTTCTCTCAGACATTGAAATTTAATTTTCAAAGCTTTGGGGTTAGTGATTTGTGGCATTCATAGACCAAATTTGACACATTGCTGCATCTACTTTATGACATCCACCCACATATAAATATATATCAAAGATATTAAATACAAGTAAGACTCAAAAAGCTGCAGTGGCTTGGTTCATTCAGTAAAGCAGTTGGCTTAGGTGTTAGCTCACATCTCAGAACTCTGGTGCAGATTGTGTTATGCCAACAAGTGAAACCATAATCCATTTTTCCAAGATGGATATGGCTGCACATTGCCATAAAAAGGAGAATGGATGCTGAATGCTTGCTGTTTTCACAACCATCTGTTAGGATGCAATGTTTTAGTCATTATGGTAAAATTAAAAATTAATTAAACTGTCATAAAAGTAACCTTTATTACCCAGTTTACATAATTTTATGTGTCTGCAAGAGTTGCTCACCCCTTTTTTTCTCTGGATGACATATTAGTACAGTAAGCATGAGTATGTAAGAAGCAGAACTGTGTAAATTTAGAAAAATGCCTTTAGCTTTGGTCTTTCCTGAAGGTGTATCAGTTATCCCACCAAAATCTCAGTAAACATAGAATTAAGCTGTATATGTAACAAAATAAATCTAACCAAAACCAGAAAGTCAGTGTTCATCTACCACCAAAAGTCTTACATGCAGTTTGCAGCACAAGTTTTATTTACGCAGAACCTCTCTGTGTCTCACTTTTCAGAGCTTTACTGTTTTTATAAACTTCATGTTTGTGGTCTCACAGGTTATTATCAGAATGAGAAAAAGATGATGTTTGTCTCTTTTCTCTTGCATCAGTAAGCTGTAGGAAATCCACATGACACGCAGCTTTAGTTTCATGATCAGTGAATATCAACCACTGCTCTTATTTCAGACATAACTTTTAAATCCCAGTGGATTTAATCAGGCCAAACAGCACATGTGCATTGTAGTTCCCTGAGGGACATGGGGATATGAACTCAGTGAGAAGTTTTAGAGAAATATTCCATTTAAATATATCAGTTCTTCAAAAGCAGAGCTTTTGGCACAAGTGCCATTTTCCTCTGGAAGGCTTTTCAAGTTCAAGGTACAATTTCTGGGGAAAAAATCAGGATAAAATCCCATGCCCAGACTCTTTTAAAGCTCATTTGCCAGCAACCAGTTACATGCCCAGAAGAGCCCGTGGGCAGGGAGATTTATTCCTGATTCCCTTCAGCCAAAAACCATTATACAGTTGCCAAAGGATAAGAAAAGAGGCCGGACTTGTCTCTGTCTGTTATAGTCCACAGGTGGCCTTGTATTCCACGTGGAAATTCCACAGTCCTCTCACCTCTCCTTAGGGACTTCATTTTTTCTCACTTATATATACTAAAAGTAATGCAGTATAGGATTCTAAAGTCCAGGATTATCTGGGTCAACTAAGCCCTCTTCAGATTTCTGGCTTTCTTTGTTTATTAGTTTTGATGGTTGTCTGCAGACTTCTAAATGTTTAGAAATAGTGAAGGTTCTCACTATATTACCTTTTTCCTGCCCATCTCAGTAAATAATAGCTTCAATTTAAAATAAGGACAGCTAAAAAAGCATTAACCTGAAATACTTACATTTCATATTCTTGGGGGAGAAAAAGTAATAAGATGCAGTATTTTAAAGGAATTCAGCATCTTTGCTGTTTAGTTTTTACACTTGTTGATCACAGTTGTGTAACACTGTGAAGTCTTGCTCCCAAATAGCAAGAAACCAAGAGTAAAAGAGAAAGCCTGATTATAAATTCCTAGATCAGTGGTTCCAAACAGTGATCCACGAGACCTTGGTAAGTGCCCTGCAAAACTGTCCTAAACACTGTTTTGTGGTGCAAATATGACAAAGTTTCTGAAGTTTTTCTTGACAAACACCGAGGCTCCTGCTAATCCACCATCCAAAAAGCAATCAGTCTTCCAAGTGATATGACAAACTTGAGTTGCAAAATAAATGCTGATAGATGTTCCTACCGATGGAACCACCTCTGCCTCCTTTTTGGGATGAGTAGTCTGCAAGTTGCATCCTGTACAACTTACACTGTGGGTTGCAGACCACTGCTGTTTCCCCCCTAAGGGAAAGCACTGCCCAGGCCCTTAGAGCTGACCTTTGTAGGGAAATTGCCCTCTTCCTTCTCCCCTTTGCTTTAACATCAGCTGTTCCTAATTTGGTGAAGGTTTTCTCCTTTGTTCTGCTGTGTGGGGTGTGAGGTGGTGGCTGGCAGAGGCAGTGGGTGTTTTTGCCGTGTATAAATCTGTCTTCCCATCTCCCCCTCCCCCTGAGCAGCGTCCTTGACAGTGCAAGTCGCCTGGATGAAGAGCACAAGCTGATCGCCAGGTATGCAGCAAGGCTGGCAGCAGAAACTTCTTCATCAGTAAGTGTTTTAATTAAAGGAAGGTACTTTCCTTCTGTCGTGTTCCAGGGGCTTGGCAAGATCAGGAAAATTACATCTGACAGTCTAATGATTAATGGATTATTTTTCCCTATTCTTTTCATCAGAGGCTGTTATGCTTTAATAATAACACTTTTATGCAGTCCATTTAATCCAAAGAATCCACATACTAATACATATAATCTATATACTAATGCAGTGGTATTTTAAATAATTGCATCAAAGGGAGTCTGACATCTTGAACTCAGGAAAGACTGTAAAATATTGCCTGGACTAGCTTTGGTTAAAGGTTAATGATTTACTGCATTGGAAAAATGGGGTGGTGAATCCATTTTACTCTCTAGCTCAAATATCAAAGCCACTAGGGCCTTAAGTACTAAGGATATTAAAGAATGTTCTTCAGCAGGATGACTGTAATGACCCCCTGCATTAGCCCTGGCTCCCATTTTCATTTCAGAGCAATGATTATTCTGCTCTCTGTATCGAAAGATAGAAGGTGATGACAGGCTAAAACCTCACTAACTGCATTCAGGAACAAGAGAGAACGAAGCAGAAACCTAATCAAAGTATATAAAATCTTAAATGGTACATAAAAGGTCAGCCTAGCTACTTTTTTTCCATCTCAGACCATTTGATACAACAAGGGATCATGAATGATGGTTAAGTGAAAAGCAGCTGGTCTGGAGTGCCCAGAAACATTTTCATACTGTGAGATCAATTGAAAGGGTGAAATTAGCCACCACACATTGTGTAAAGACACTGAGTCACATTCATGCCAGATGAAGATGAATCTGCTGCCCCATGCAGATGCTGTCATGGAGATTTCACATTACCTACAGCTGCCTGGGAAGAGAGGGGTGCTCCTGTTCTGCCAGTCCAGCCCAAATCAATCCTTTCCAGACATGTGGCACAATGTTTCAAAGTTAAGGCAACGTGTAGATGTTGGTCTTATTTCTGAAAGATAGTAATTCTTCATGGGAACATGATTTCACATTAATAATGTCTCTGGTTAAAAATCAGTCGACATCAGTTCCATGTAATGTGTCCTTGATGTGGGGGAAAACAGCATAAATGGGGTTGACTTGAAAGAAAATACTGAATTTCTCGTTGCCATCCATCTTTGCTCTTAGAACAAAAGAGACAGAAGGAAAAGAGAAAGTTTCTCTAGAGAGAAATCTTTCCAAGCAAAAGAGTGACACCCAGTAGGGGCTGTGGAAATTTTTAAAGCTTTGCTGATGGTCATTCTGGATTTTAAGGAACTAAATATATTAGTACCTGGAACTAAATATATTAGTAACAGTGGGCATTCAGGATAAAAATCCTGATTCCTTCTGTATGAGTGATGACATCCACCAGTGTGTATCAGTTCTTTATGCACTGTTCTGTTTCCCTGTGGTTGATGTGTTAATGGGAAAATGTATCCATAGCAGAAAAATCACTGTGTGGTTACAGGGGAAATATACTGTATTTTTCCCCACAGACAGTCCTAACCTTCGTTAAGTTTGTTAGGCTGTTGAGATGTCTCTTCATCCTTTTTGTGGGTCCACCTCCTGGCAGAGGAGATGCCTGGCATCACATAAAATAGCACTCCAGAGTTATGCTTCACATTGCTTTTTGTGGTGAGGAACCCTCATATCACAGCAGTAACTCAGCAGAGTGTTTATAAATACTTGATTCTTTCAGACTGGAATTAGAAATAAATGGGTATCTTTCATAGTTGTGAAACTTTTAGATGTCCTGCCCTGTGTTGTCATTGTTACAAGACTGAAATACAGGGCTGTGAACAAGGAAAACAATAATTGATTATTGCTGATGAACATGCAAAAAGGCATAGTCCAATGAAGTTGTAGGGAGCACTGCCTAGTTTGGTGAGAGACAAATTCTCATTTCATTTTATTGGTGGAAAAAAAGATTTTGCTGTCCCTGAAGGACTGGGGAAAGAGGTTTCCTGAAGTATCATGAGAGCGTATAGGATAACTTAGGCAAATGGGCCACACAGCCAGACTGAGAACTCAGAACTGCTTTCAAACTGAAAGTGAAACCATACTTTCAAGAGAGTGAAGCGTTGCTGCGCTGTAAGCACATCCCATTCCTTCTGGAGGCAGAAAGGTTTTTGCTTCAGTGTACTCCTCTTGTCTGTGGCATCAATATCAAGAGCCACATCACAGCAACTGCCTGCAGCAGTGTCATTGCCTTTTATGATAGGTTCAGAGGAAGCCCTGTGAAAAAAATGAATGACAGGATGGTAAACACTGAGTCTTATTTACTCTAGCACTTACTCTGCTTTTGCTAGCAATGGTTCCAATGCTGGTATGAGCACAACATGAATGCTCTTTTTTTAGTGTAGGCAAGCTTGGTACTGCACTTTCTGTAAACAGATTTCACAGAACAGATCTGTGTTGAGCTCATGGTGCATGCTGGCTATTCCCCTTTCAATGCAGCCTTCTCTGTTTTACAACAGCAGCCGAGTCAGCAGAGAGGGGCATCAGATATCTCCTTCACCATTGATGCAAACAAGCAACAAAGGCAGCTGATTGCAGAGCTTGAAAATAAAAACCGGTAAGGAATCACTAAGTACCTGGTTTTGCTCTGTCCCATATATTACATATATGTTTGTTTCTTAGCATTTTTTACCATCTACACCCGTACAATGTGCTTATACAGGCACATACATCTCCCCCTACAAATAAACAGAGCAGAAAAAGGTCCATACAATAGGATAAAGATTCTGAAATCCATAGCCACCCTATGCTTTTGTAAGTGTACTCTCCAATGACATGGCATAATCATGGATACTTTACTGTTTGCAGCTGCTGTTTGTAAAGAGTTATAAAAAAAAGCCTGTCCTGTTTCAAAACTGGATTAACTTTCAGTTGGATTCTCAGTAGCACTATAACATGAAATGATAAAAGGATGTCACGCTTGTAATGTTAAGCTCCCCTGCTTTTATTTGGGAAAAAGATGATTAAAGCTCTTCAGAACACAGTCTGCCTGGGAGAGGTTTGCAGGAGGATTAGCAGTAAGTTAGGCTGCTGATCAAATGAGACAGGAGGTACAGATATGACCGAGACTGAGAGAGTGTGTCCAGGAGAAATAGGCCAGCCAGCCCCAAAAAGGAGTGATGCCTGTCCCTGGGTACCAGACCGCCTGATGCCATGAAGTGTATGGCAGCAGAGCTCTGCTTTTAGTGCTGGACCATAAAACAGAGGCTAGCCCAGACCAGATGGTTTCCTATTCCAAGCTCTGCACTGCCTTCTGTCACCATATAATGAGCACCACCAGCTCATCTTGATTTGCCTTTCATAGTTCGAGGCTGCCTCCTGACCGTCTGCTTCCAGCACATTGTGGAGAAGAGACAAAATTCACAAAGGTTTCAACCTTCTGCTGTGAAGCTTTATATTAGCCTTTTGACAGCACTCCAGGGCTCACAGGCCAGTCGTAACAAGTCTTGTTAAAGTGCTTTTCTGTGAATTGTCAACTGCTCTCATATCTCTGCTTCCATTAAAAGTATTTTTAAGGGCTAAATATTTTCTCTGATACTCCATGATGTCCAGAAAGGTTACTTCCATTTTTTTTAATTTCATGAGGTGCTGGAAATGTTCATGGTGAAGAATTTAAAGGGAGCAGTTCAGTCAAGCTTAGAGCTATTTTATGTCTACCTGTGTTTTTGGGGGATTTTGAAGAATGATTTCCCTTTATGGCAAAAACCTAAGTTTATTTAGAAAATATCCAGACCCCTCTCCCATTGCTGAGGACATCTTTGTTTGGCTGCAAACAAGTCATTTTATGTACATCTTCACTGATTAAAAGCTAAATACAGTCATACTTTTTCACCTCTTGCATTGTCCAGGAAGCTGGTTATGTCGAAAATTACTGACTTTAAGTCTTCTGCTTATTCTCCTCCCCAAGAGAAATCCTACAGGAGATCCAGAGGCTGCGACTTGAACATGAGCAAGCGTCTCAGCCCACACCAGAGAAGGCCCAACAAAATCCCACTCTCCTCGCAGAGCTCCGGCTCCTGAGGTGAGTCTACAGCAGTAAAAAATTGACAGGGGCCAGCCAGTCGTTCTCAATAAGAGAAGAAATAAAAGATAAGCCTGGCTAATGATTTTGGAGGCTTTTTCAAGTAAGTCAGCCAATGTGTATTTTTTTTATCCATTTTTGGTGCAGCCCATTGTCCTAGAAGTAATTAAGCTTATGCTTTAAACTATGTGCATGAGGAATCTCATATATTACTCCTCTACATTGAATTAAGTACGTGTATTAGTATTTGCAGAGTTAGGCCCTTAGGTCATTTGGAACAGGTCCCCACAGCCTGGTCCAAGTGCCATTAATGATATGGGGAAAAATAGTCAGAACAAATGCCTTTACAAAGATTTCTAGTTTATGCTGAAGAAAATACAGAACTACATGAAAATACTGCTAGAATTAGATGTTAATCTTTGGAAATTTCTCCCATGTGTTGAACTCTAAGGGGAGGTCAGTTCTCTTTGTGGTGCAAAACCAGGCTGCAGAATGATCCTCCTTGTCATGTGGAGGGTAGAGAGTAATGTCGTCTGCAGCTGCTGAAGATTTAGAGGATCCTTCCTCTGATTATCCCACCAAGCTAAAAACATTAATGTGGATGTGACTACATTTTAGTTATGATACTCTACATGGATTTACTAATTTCCATGTATATCACATTGAAGGAATGCAATTGTCATTGGCTCAGATCCGTAGGCTCCCAGAAAGTCATCAAGTTTGTTGTGAGAGCCAGACAGAGAAACCAGTGAAAGCTACTCAAAATGCTCTATATGAATAGAGAAGAGAGTGTAAGCACTTTCTTTCCAGTGAAACAATGCTAGATTGCTCTGTCCCCTGACTAAAGAACATCATTTGCCACTTAGCCATTCCTCACATAACTAATATTTTAGTGGTCTGATGCATATCCTAAGGAAATTACTGTATGAAATTTTTTTTCTTTACAAATACTTGATAGTTTTATTATGAAGTTTTCCACACAAAAATATTTTTCTGATTCACAAATCATTACTTCATCTTTCAAATCTAAATACAAATTAGTTTCTTCATTTCTATGAGTGACTTTAATGTGTAATTACTTTTAGACATCTACAGGCAAGTGACATTGTGTGAGGCATATTACACTGACTGTCATAAAAACATGTACACTCTAAAATATACCAGTAATGTAGCTTTTGTCCATCAAACCAAAAGTGTATTTTCAGCAGGTTTAGGAAATCAGCTTTCTATGTAGTTGACTAATAAAATTCATTATACTTTAAAAACAAAGGAATGATTGTGCAGTGTTAGCAGGCTGACTATTTAACTTCTCCCTCTTTTCAATTTTGATACAAATATTAAAGCATAATACCCTTATTTTAATTACTTGATATCTGATGCCCTTAGGGCAGTGATACTGAATACCTCAACTATACCTTCCCTGATTTAATATAAAGTGTGAGAATCAGAAAATAACTTTTAATCTGTGGGTCTGAACTGCTTTGCATTTCTTCTGAAATGTTCACCATTTTGAAAGGCAGAAGTCTGACTTTGGATTTACTGGAGAATTTTAACACCACCTCAAATTCCTAGACACTTAAGATGGCACAAGGCTGTTCTTATATGTAAAACAGCAGGACTCAGGACTGATTTATGTCTGTTACTCTGCTGATTTTTCTGTCTTGAAGCACTTAGGGCTGTAGAACAATTTTAGTGCACATTGTATTAAGAAATGCTGGAATCTGTAAATCATGTTGTGGGTACCTGTCCCAGCATCTTTCACAAGCTGCTGTAATGTGGCACTCCCTGAAACGAAGTCCTGAACACAGCATTCCTTCACATTACCACTACTGTCTTGGAGACAGGTTGGAAAACCCATTACTTCCAAGAATTTGCTCTGGAGAAAATTCTGCCTCAGAGGAGTAGTCTGTACCGTGCACACTGCTTAGATCCTCTCTCCCTGTGGAATGAATCTAAAACCCAGCAGAGCTCTCTGTATTAGGACCCGCTGCTTTGAATTACACAGACCTTATTTTTGTGAGCAGTTTCTTAAACTCTGCTGCCTTTCTACTGTTCATAGCATTTCCAACCATTACCAGTCTGTAAAAGAAAAGCCAACACAGGCATTTTGTAGCAGGAAATAGATCAATCCTTTAGAAGAGTAAATGCAACCTGGCAGTGTTACTATATGATCCTATTCTAGAGGTGAGAGATAGCAGACATGAGCAGTCCTGTAGAAATCAATGTTGACTATATCTCTAGTTGCTCACTTACAGTGAAGGCTCAAAATCAGGCTTTCATATTGCCCTAAATGCAGGAAATGTAATTAAGTCTTGTTGGTTCCAGTGCTTTTCCATTTAGGATTAAATTGTCATGTTTTGTAGGTACAAGGCTAGCGATATACTTTGTATGTAATTTGCAATGCAGTAGAGTATAAAATGTACCTAATATGTATATTTTTCAATAGTAATGTTAATTAAATCCTAGGTTTCAGGAGGCAACAATTTTATTTTGTTTTTAGGTGGGGTCCTCCTGCAGTTTAATGATTTAACATGTGCGAGTGCTGTTCCCCCATCCTGTGCCTGGGAGCTGTGCAGAATCAAAGCTATTCAGATTTATAGGGGCACAGAGAGACTGTCACACTTGGAGTGGCTCAGTATTCACCCTGTCATGCAACCAGCACTGGACTCTGAGTGCAAAGAGCTAATTTCAAGCAGTTGTGTCTCTGCCATGGGATAGTCTTCTTCTTGCTTTTAGAAATGAAAAAAAATAGAAACAAAAGCAGATCACTGTGGGTTTTTGTCTGAATTTCTGAACTCTTAGCTTTTCTCATATCTCACTGTGTTTAGTGCCCCTGCTGTAATTTCCTGTCCTTCAGGGCATGGCTTTAATTTCTCCTGACAGCTAGTGAGGTTATTGACTGTAGAGTTCCATAGCTAAAAATGCCAGGCATTTCCACAAGGGAGTCTAACACAAACTTGTCTGAACCTCATTTTCATTTTGTTGAAGGGTCTGTGTCAGTGTCTCTTTTCCCTAACCACTACTCAGTCCCACGAGGATTCCCAGTAAGAGGGAACTTCCCAGCCTTCACATAGCCACATTTCTGAGCCCTGTGTAAAATTCATAGAGTGTGTTTGCTTTCCTGTGGTCTGTAGGCGTGTATCCCATAGTAGGGCTGGGAAAATGATGCAGTTAAAAGCTGCTGCTGTTGTGAAGGGTAAGCTGTGGTCGTATCTGCTTGTTTCTCAGACAAAGGAAGGATGAGCTGGAACAGAGGATGTCTGCTCTCCAGGAAAGCCGAAGGGAGCTCATGGTTCAGCTAGAAGGCCTCATGAAACTGCTGAAGGTAAGGAGCTCCACCAGGAGCTACCAAGGAAAACGCAAAGTGAAGTGAGAGGAGAAGGAGGATATGTAACCACTGAATTCTGCAGAACCCGTTTCTACTCACAAAATTTGGCTGTGTTTCCCTCCCTTTTTATTTTTTGCCTTGGTTTTTTAATTCAGGGGTTTCAGATGAGGGTAAGATGAGGATGTTCCTGTAGGAGCACTGCATCATCATAGTCACCTCCTGCTAAGAGGAGTAAGAAAATGAAAAGAAACCAACATGTAAAACAAGTTAACTATTGGCTGTAAGAAAAAAGCTCAGCACTGTGTACTGTTATTCACTGCAGCTGACAGCATAGAATCACTAGGCTAGTTCCTTTAACTTTGCCCTGAAGTTAAAGTTTCTTTAACTTATTCAGTTGCTGGTTCTCTCAGATGAGTCATTTGACAACCACATCTCCCTCTCTCACCTCAGAGATGCTTTCCCTACAACATATGTTTCATTTTCACGGATACAGAAGCAGGCCCTTGTTAAACAGATGAAACATGTCTCAACAAAGGATCTCAGTTAAGAACGAAGATACCAAAAAGCATGTACATTTTTAAAGACAGACTAGGGTAAGATGGAAGATGTGTTTTTATTTGCAGCTCTGTTTTACCTGATGTGCTTCAGGACAGATGATTCCACAAATTTGCGTTGGAAGAAAGTGCCCTGAACAGCATAGGAGTCTGTTTAGTTGTTGTCTATGGCAGATCAAATGAGTTCATGGAAATTCAGTGTAACTTGGGTCAAATATGGCTCAGATAAGAGCAGGAGGAATTCCACTGAAATCCGTTTAGCAGCATGCCTCAATTTAGATGCAATATGGATCTACTTAGATCCATTTGCATCAAAGGATGAGTTTGACACCTTATCTCACTTGCCCCTCCTTAGACACAGGCTGCTGCAGCCACAATGCACCTCAGCAGCAGAGCCCACTGAAGAGCCAGCAGATTTTTAGCAGCTGCAAGTAGGCAGGATACTTTTTGTTCTATCCATGAAATGCTGCAGTGCCACAACTAGCAGTGAAAGCTGCTTGCTGTTACTCTCCACTGCCTGGACAAAGAAAATTTGGGGTGGGAAATGACAGCAGCTTTCTGCACACTTTGCACTGTTCTGGTGTTTCAAAGTGTGCAGAGGTGGGACTTTAACCTGGTCTCATATCTTCAACTATCTTGATTGGACCTTTAACCCTGTGCTCCAAATTTGGTGGGTTTTTTTGTTCGTCACTTACTGGTTCATCTCATGTGCTGATCCTCTTTTTCTTTAGGAAGAAGAATTGAAACAGGTAGCAAGTTACCTTCTCTTTGGAGGCCTTACTAATTCCTAAATTTGATTGTGTTCCTGTGATTTGTGTTGCTTCCTTTGCTTGAGAAGTGTGTGTGTGTGTTCTTTTGACAAAAATTAATATTTTGCAGTTCTTTCCCACATTAGTGTCTTGGAGCAGTTTTCACAATGAAACATCCTAGCACTCTAGAAAGTGAGTCATGGCTACAAGGAATCTTTATCTCCTTCCTCTATGCAAGGAGTATAAACTAAATATGTAAGGTATAGAAACCACCCCTCAAATGTAGTGAAACCAACCTAGAATATGTATTAAATAGATAACACTTTGAAAACGTAATGAGAAATTTTGTACTTTCAAGGAAAACATAAATGAGCTTTAATTAGGCAAGGGCAATGAGTTTGAAAGCCCATTTTATCCAGAAAATGTCACAGCATAGTGTGCACATCTTTAAAAGTCTGCACTGACGCTAACAGTCCCATGAGTCTTCAGCGAAATAAATGTTTTCTGCAGCCTAGATCAAAATGAGGAAGTATTTCATTAATAATAGTAAATTTTAGAAGATTTAAATCGTAAATTTAGATTTTTTTTTACTAGTAAAATTGCATTAATAGTAAATTTTAGAAGATTGATTTGTTTTGGAGCTTTTTGGTATTGTAATGGATCTTGGAAATATATTAGGCTTTTTAAAAAAGGCACTTTTCAGATAGCAGTCTGATTTATGAGTTCAATAAAAGTGTTTCATTTTAACAAAACACACTTCCTCCTGCTTTCATCAGCAGAAGTGCAGTCACAAGTCTGATGTGTTCTGTCTATGATACAGAATGCAGAGTTTGTAGATAATGCTCACCTTCATAAAACCAACATTTGGCTAATTTTTGTAGAGCATTAGTTTGTTGCACACACACACACAAAAAATCTGACCAAATACCACCTCTGTGTAAGGGCTGTCTTTTTTTATTCTGAAGATTTGTTTGTGAAAAAGAAGCTTCCAGTGTGACAGGAGTTACCTTATGTGAAATGCTCACTGGACAGTGTAAGTGAAAGCACATTTTCAGGCTGCTATGAGGTATTTTTATGAGATTTTTTTATTCCAAGAGTAATAGCCTCACTGAATACCAGGTGATGATGCTAAAGAATTACTCTCACCATTTCCGTTTAATGATCCCCATTATGCTATGCCATTTCATGATCTGTTGAGAGAAACAGGATTAAATTAATTTCTGGAGGAATTCAATTGGAATGAGCAGCCTGGCAATTCATCTAATGCTTATGAATTATCTATTTCTCCCTTGCCCTTCCTTGAGAAAGGATAATGGGTTCTTCACATCCCTGCCGTTTTATGAGGCTGTGCGATTTCCCCATATGTCATCCCAGTTCAGTCCCAGCAGAGGGAGCAATGGGCTAAAACTCCTGAAAAGCCAGTTTTCATTTCAAGCGTTTTATGCTAGACATGCATGACACTTGATAGTGGGAAAATTTTCCTGTCTAGCAAGAGTTAACTTAAGAGCTGTAGCAATTTGACTAGAGATGGTGAATTAAATAAAATACCTGAAAATTTTCCTGGGAGGCATGAGAACACTGATAGCTGCAACCAAGTACAGCACAAAAGCTGAAGCTATCCAAATACCCATGGTGGCTGTGGTAGCTCCTCTTTCAGCATGCTTTAGTCCTTAGCTGATAGAGCTGTCAAGGTTTGGGAGCAATTCAGTGCTTGTCTTCCCTGCTGACCTTACCAAGAAGTTAAGACTGGCTGTCATAACAGATTTCAGACCATTAGGCCCAGCCTTTGAAAACCACAATTCTCCTGATAACCACTAAGCAGGAATCCAATCCTAATACCACTTCATTCCCACAAACCTGAGCTGAGGTGGATCCAGATGAGTAAATATATTAAGTTTTCATCTCTCTGAAATCAGGCATTCCCTAATATCCTCCTATTTCAACTTGCTGTTCATCAGTTCTGTCTGATACTGCCCAAATAATATAAAAAGTGAGGAGTTTTTTCCTGGACAAGGAACTCTGAATGCTTCATCTTCCTGTGCTTCCCAAACATTTTGTGTTTGCTTATCATAAACACAACATTTCAATCATAGCTGCAGAGCAGACAGAGGGTAAGCACTGAGTGTGCAGCAGCTTTCACATCTCTTAAGGGAAAATTCCAGCCCAAAAGTGCTGGTGGGCATCTGTTATTTTTAGTAAAAAGAATGCCTATTCTGAAGTTCATTCCTGAATATGACTTGATGGGAAGCAAATTTTGTCCTTTTTTTTTCCTCATCTGTCTCTGAAAGTTCCCACTGTTGTTGATGTTTCCAGAACAGAGATAAAAGGCAAAGGGGACCTAAATAAAAAGGCAAGTGAAAAAGGGCACTTGTCTTTCAGAGAGCTGAGAACATTTTGCAAATGTGTTTCAGTGAGGATGAAATGTGATCTGTCAGGGCATGAAAGAAGAAAGCTGTGGGTCCTGGATGCCCTGCCTGATGTGCAGGGGTTATGACTAACAAGGACCTTGGAGCATCTCCACGTTGCTCTGGGCCCTTCCTCTGGAGGACTAAATATCTCCATTTCTGCTGGAACTGGTAGAGATGATTCTAGAAACAGGATAGCATCTGGCCTTTATATATTTGATTTGCCTTTCATCCATCATGTAAATGTTCCAAGACCGATCATTGAAATTATAAGTATTAAATCCTCCATTATTCTATCAGCAATGTGCTTATTTCTCATAAACCTAATTTACCCGTGATGGCTTTCAGGTGATAATGTCTCTTAGAAAGGGGTGATAGAATAAAAGGACAAATAGCTTAATATTCTGATACATTATTTATGGTCCAGGCCAGGAATTTATAAAAATCTCAAGGGCAATGCTGCATTCATCCTGCAATGGCCTGCTCTTGTCTTTTTTAGAACATATTCAATGAACATAATGAGAGGTGCAGTGGCAAACAACAGCAGAGTCAAAATAAATGCTTTGGAAAGAGTTAAGAAAGCCTCTTGTATTTTTAAAATAAAGCCAAGATAAGGGGGAAAAACCACCACTTTTGACTGAAAACAACCGGGAGCTTGTGTTGCAGTTCCCCTTTAAAAACACTCAGACCACCTCCATCCTTGGCATCTGCTAAACCCTGGGTTTCAAAAGCCATGTGCAGTTTGGTGTGGCTCCAGCATTAGTTTTTTTCTTTCATGGATACACATTTCCAGGACTTTGAAACAGTGGATGAGAAGAATGCTGTGTCTCTTCACTCACTCACCTAGCTGCATTAGTAAAAATTGCAATTTTGTAAAGTCTGCTTGAATTTCAGCTAAGTGATCCTAACTGTGAGGTGCTAACAGCATGACATTTATATGACTGGTGTTAAAACATTTTCACTTCCAGCAGCTGAATCCATAGCAGGAATTTATATTGCCCTATCCCCACAGTGTTTTGGGAGTGCCTGTGTATGTCCTGTGGAGCAGATAATTTAATAGTGGATTAAACAGTTCTCTAGTTCCAAATAAAAAGCAGAAATTTGTGTTATTTATTGCGAGTGTCAGACTTTATGTGAGTGAGAGGTTGCACATACCATGAACTTGTTCTGCAGGGAGGCAGAGGGCAGGTCTGTGATCAGCTCTCATGGCAGGGCTCTGCTGAAAGGGGCTGCTCTGGTCCCTTGCCCAGGCTGAAAGCCACACTGGTGCCAGCAGCTTTCCCCTTCTCACAGCCAGAATGGGTTACAGTATAGCAACATGCATGGGGGAGTGAGAGGGGAGAGGGCAGAGAGGTCTCTAGTGTGGTCTTTATTAACTTGGATTTTTTTTTAATTTAGCTGCCTGACATTTTCCCATGCTTAAAGGAAGTCAGATCTTGACTCATATTTTCCTATTTACTGTTTCTCTACACAGAAGCCTTGCTGTCAACTAACAACTGACTTTGGTTTATTTCTTCTAGCAAAATTAACATTGCCCAACTGATCTACAACCAGCACAATGCCTTTGAGCTGAGGGCTGGGTGAGCAGGACAGCAGGCAGGCTCTTGCACAGCCCCAGTTTAACCCCTGGATTGTTTTGCAGACGCAGGGGGCAGGCTCCCCACGTTCCTCACCCAGCCACACCATCAGCCGGCCGATCCCCATGCCCATCAGGTCTGCCTCTGCCTGCTCCACCCCGACCCACGCACCTCAGGACTCTCTGACCGGGGTGGGAGGAGATGTGCAGGAAGCCTTTGCACAAAGTAAGTCTCATTAATAGCTTGTTTGAGGCACCTGGAGACTGAAGAATCATTATTTCTTGTGGTTACTGACTAAATGTACTTGGGCTTCTGAGTGGCATGCAATGAAACAAAACAAAACAAAAAATATCTGTGCATTTTTGCCATTGAAAATCAACTTTGTCAGCCATCAAAGCAAGCAGGTAAACAAAAACTGGACAATGATGCCAATTAACGGAGTTTGGGGTAAGAAGGAATTTGGTGCAAGAGGGATGAAACAGTTATCACTGCTCTTTAACCAGAAAAATTGCTATTGACCTCAGCAGGTATTGTCAGTTTGTTTGGTTTTAAATAAAGACTTTCCTAGAGGTAAATGATAAATCATAGAATTAATTCAAGTGGAAAGGGCTTTTGTAAGTCACTTTGTCTTTCTGCCCCAAGAAGGAGGGCTTCAAAGTGAGATCAGAACATTCAGGACCTTTACCAGCTGAGTTTTGGATGGCCCCTGTCACTCATTTTCTCTGTTGCAGTGTTTCTCCATCCTTACTGTGTAAATTTCTTGTCCTTCTATCTGATTGGAGCATCCCTTGATTCAACTTGTGTCTGTCATCCCTTGTCTTTTTGCTTTGGGCCTGAGAAGGGTCCAGTTAGACTAGACAGGAGTCAAGTCTGAAAGTCTAGGTGAAACCTTTCTTTGCATTTCCAGAAAACTCATCGCCTTCCCACTCTTTTTTTCAAGTAAGAATAAATTTTAAACGGTTTTGAATTTCTAAGGCCACAAATTAAATTATTATGTTGAATAACACAGAAAGTGAGTAGTCTGTGTTATCTAAATGAAGAAACATTCCCTATTTTTAATCTACACTCTCTAAAATACTTACATGATTGCAATTCTATGATCTTAATAATTTTTTCCCTTTTGCCCTAGCACAAATTAAACATAAGTTTAAATGTAAGCTCAGAAGTTCCTCTGCTACAGTAGAGGTGTGCTTCTTCCCAGGAACCCAGTTCAGCCTTCTCATGCACCCTTCCCCTTGATTTTCCTGTGAATTGTATCTTTGTGTGTATTTTTGGACAAGGTTGAATCTGTAGTTCAATCAAGAACTTTCTCCTAAAGTACTGGTCAATTCAAGTATTGAACATGGGGTAATTCCTGCTCTCAACATAACGGGTTGTTGCTAATCTCATTTTCTGTGGCAAAAGAAAAACATGCAAAAAGTTTTCCTTTTTTTCTGCTATGAGAAAAATTGAGACAGGCAAAAGTAGGGAGCCCTAGCTCCTATGCCATTATGGGACAGCTTCTTCTGGAGTTAAGAGTAAGATGAATAATGTAGTGGCCACAATAAAATATCCATATACAATGCTAGGTCTGCCTCAGGCAAATGCATTTTAAGTGTAAAAATGTGTTCTGTTCAAGATCAAAAGCAATATAAGAAGTTATGTGATCACATTTTAAAACTGCTGCATTTGATAAATGCCTAGGTTTGTGTCATTATATACTGTAAGCTCTGGATGGGAAGGTCAAACCCAAAGAACCTGAAGCCAGCATTCTGTCACATCTTGACATACGACTTTGTGAGGGGGGTTGGGCTGAGATTTTATGGCTCCATTCTCTGCTGCACCAACAGAGATCTGCCTATGTATATATAGACAAGCCATGGCTAAAGGATGTTTTCGTAGTTTCTGTTTTCTCTTTCACAGAATTTGCAATAGTTCAGAGGCACAAATTTGGGAAGACTTTAGAGAGGGAGTGGTTCCCTGTGTGTATGTGTAAGGGAAAGTTTAACTACTGTAATTTACATTCCAGTAACTATTTGCTCATGGATACATTAAAAAATACCTCTTTAGGATTTGGGAAACTTTTTAAAATGTATTGGTTTGCATTCAGTGAGTTTTAAAAAATTGACAGTAGCCAATTCCTGTAAATAATTCCTTTTGGAAGACTAGGGATTCTGTGGAAGATATTGATTATTCAGCTATTCAACAATAGTATCTGTGTTTGGGATTTGAGGGAGTTAAGCACACGTTACCCACACACCCCTCCTAAGGAAGGAGTATTCCATGCAGCTCACAAGAATCTCTCATGATTGATGGTTAAGGGAATATTGCCAGATTCAGCAGGGAAACACTTCTCAGATGCATTATTAGAAAGAGTTTAAAAGCAGCCTGGGGCTGTTTAGAGAGGCAATAGTCCTCCCTTTATTAAAAAAAAACAAGGGGGGTTGGGGAGAGAGAGAGAGAGAGAGAGTAAATTATAGAATATACAAGAAAGTCCTTGAGCTGCAGGAAAGGCTGAGAGGAAGCAGAGAAGAGAAATCCGTATAGTCTCGATGAGGGATGAGGTCAAGTGTGTTTCTTCAACATTTGCCATAATTATCTGGCAAATACCTGGCAATAATAGTGTCATTAAGCAGAGCTGTGGGAACTTATAGAAAACGCTTCATTTCTTCCCTCCTCCCCCACAGGCACTGTAAATGAGTTCATGCTGGATTTAATCTTCCAGACCTGGTCTGCTGGTGTCACCACACAAATGCAAGCTTGATGGCAATGAATAATCTCCACATATCTGGCATTGTGATTAAATGAAGCATGAGGGCAGGCTTCTGCTTTTGCATACAGCATAAGTAAATGAGGCCATTCTGCAGAGAACTCTTCTGCACGTGCCCCTTGTAAGGACTTTGATACCCTGAATTATCACAGTGACAGCTTTCAGCAGGGTCAGAACTGCTTTCAACAGTGAAACATATGTCGTGTGAATAATAGTAACACTGTGCTTTGTCCACCTCTTGCTTCAGGTGCAAGACGAAACTTAAGAAATGATTTGCTGGTGGCAGCAGATTCAATCACCAACACCATGTCTTCTTTGGTAAAAGAACTAAATTCTGGTGAGTGAAGGGGAATAGTCCCCACGGTGACATTTCACATTTATATGAAAAAAAGCGGGAGGTAGGAAGATGCATATCTTCAAAGCTTTTTATGCTTTTATTTAAAAAATCTTTAAATAACAGCTTCTGGAATTCAATGGGTCTCAAAGCCATGGATGTAGAGGTGCAGCTGGATACAATGAAAACTTTGTGATTCCGCATGGAGTGGGATTTCACTCTTTAGAAATTCAATTTAGCAAAGATCATACAAGACCTGTTGTAATATGCAATCTGTATTATTACCATTAAAATATCCTACCTAATAACTGAGATAAGCAAAAGCTTCAGTATTTGGTCCCATCACAGGAAGAAAACTATAAGCTTTGCCAATATATATATAGAATAATATGTTTTTATTCACTGTGAGGAGGTGGCATTCTCGGTCGGAAAGGCAAAGAAATGCTTAAAGAAATAGGGAAGTATACTTTTGTGAAAGTTAAATGGGACTTTTTGCTTCACAGAAGTGGGCAGCGAGACAGAGAGCAATGTGGATTCTGAGTTTGGGCGGACTCATTTTGATGACCTGGTTCCCTCCCCGACGTCTGAGAAGGCTTTCCTGGCACAGATCCATGCCCGGAAGCCGGGATACATCCACAGCGCTGCTGCCACCGGCTCCATGCGCAGTGACATGTGGGTACCTGCTTGACACCCCTTCCTCATCTCATTCTCCTGCCTCTGAAAACAGTGTGCAGCACACGGCATTTCCTCTCCCTCTCAATTATCTGGGTTAAAAAAAAAAATAAAGAGCATAAATGCAAGTGAGGAGTGCTTCATGGTTATATAGTAAGTAGTGGGCTCTGTAAACAATAAAGCCTGGAACTTAGGACTCCTTCAGGAGTCTCACATCCAGCCTGGAATGCTCAGACAGCATGGAGGCTGTGGGACAGCTGTTTTCCCAAACATGCCCTGCAGTCCTATTCACTGTTTATCCAGACTGAGGGACCTGTTAGGGCTCACTGGAAAAGGAGAAATGTGTAAATGGAAAAGACAGAATGCTTTTCATTGACCTACTCAATTGATGAACAAACAGATTGATTGATTTTTTACAACCTGATCCTTCCTTTCAGAGACAATAGGCATCTTTCTAGTTATTTTTAGTTCAGCCTCATCGTATGAAGTTACTGAGAACTTCTGTTACTCATTTCCTTAGGGGAATTCCTTCAGCAGAATATGCCCTTTGGTGTATTCATGAGAGAGGGAAATAACAGAAGTGTTCTCCACTGCCAGGCAAATACTAACCAGTGGAACATGTGGTTAGACTAAAAGTATCCCACAGTCCTCATAGATGACCATAAAGGGATGTTTTGTTGACTCTGAATGTCACTCATCTCAGGAGGCTATTTATTAATAATTGTCTTTAGGGTTACAGAAGATGGAGACCCTTATGTCAGAGCAGATGATGAGAATTACGAGAACGACTCTGTCCGCCAGCTGGAGAATGAACTGAAAATGGAGGAGTACCTGAAGCAGAAGCTGCAGGATGAGGCTTACCAGGTGGGAGGAGGACACCAACTGCACATGTTTCTTCATAAGTGAGAAAGGTTGATGGTCCTCAGGTGCCCATCTGGGCTCTGGGGTGTTATCTCTTCTGGGTTACCAGAGTAGCCACATTCCAAAAACTGCTGCCACCCTTCCACAGACACCCTTCTGTGCATCCAGCCTTCGTGCATATCCAAGAAGACCACACTGCCTGAGGCGCACACAGCAGTAGTCCATAAGGGTATCAGAGGACCAGGTGGGACAAAACTGCCTCTGAGCTTGTTATTGCCCATGCCTACCAAGTCACTTAGATCTCATTCTCCACTACCACAGGTGCTGGTTGGTGGTGTCGAGATGTCCTGCTCTTTGCATATCTTTTTTTTTCTCCAATAGCAAAAAACATTTGTAAGGGTTTCTCCAGTGAACTGAAGCTCAAGTACTGTCTGTGTGTTACTGTCATTGTCATAATCTGGAGGTACAGAAAAGGGTCTGAAACTAATTGTATCCCAGAGAACCAAGTATTCAACAAGCATCTGGTACAGAGAAGCCTGGGGATTTGTTATTAAACACCTCCCTGAGGAAGCTCCCAATGGGCATTTGTTTAAGAGTCTGAGTAAAGCAAATATGCCAGGGGGAGCTGGAATTCTGTAAATGCCCATATCTGCATCATGATCTCCACTTCTATCTAGTGTTGCACTAGTGTTGCAGATTATTGTTTTCAGTTATTCTGACTTGGAATATCTGAATTTAAAATACATTACATCTTACAAATGTGGAAATAGTGTCACTAGGAGGGAAAACCTAGTTCAGTTATTTGGGAGCAGAGCTGAAGCAAGCAAAAAAAAAAGAAGCAAATAACTTCATTCCCACATGGTGATTGGCTCAGATTTGGACCTCACCCCTAAAGAACATATTGAATGGGCTAAAGAAACCAAGTTAGACATGTTCTGAGAGACCAGATGTCTGCAAATGAGATTCAGTTTACGGGCAGGAATTCTTTAAACTGCTGATTTCTAGGAGCTAATAAAATCTAGCCCTTTTTTCTGGTAATTTTCCTCTAGTGTTCGGTGCTGGTCACTTTGGAGACAATCTGACAGGCTTGTGTTGTAATGAAGATTGGCTACTCTTATGGCCTTCTTCTCTGTGATGCTGCTAGGATATGTTAGTGTGGTAGAAGTTCATTGAACCTTATCAAAATTTGAGGTAACTTTGAGGTTGATGTGAACATCTTGTTGTTGTTGTTGATGTAGACGCTGCTGTATGGTCATGTTAGCTGGCCAAAAATCATTTCATTGCAGAGGTCTTTAAGGACATGATAAAAGGAGCAGGACTGTTACAGATCATTTACTAAGGCAACAGCAAGTGACATAGGGGCAATTGTCGTAATTTTTTATCCAAGACAGGAAATGTCAAAAATCACAGCCCTTAAACTTCTGAACAGGATGAACAGCTACTGCTGATGTAATGAAAAGTAGTTGTCAGTTTAGAGGAGGAGTGCCTAAATAGTCACAACTGCCAAACATCAAATAATAAATGTTATTCTTGCTGGTAAGAATTCCAGTTTCTTCAGAAAGGGCAACAGACCAGTTTGACAGTATTTTGATTACTGTATGGAAGTGCAATATATGGCAACAGTGTTACTTGAGTTTCACAGTTACAATGGGATTTTGTACATGCATAAAATTCAGTATGTATGTGCACTGCAAATAAGGGCAGGATAAGTTACACATGTCACTTGATGGCACTGGGTGTTACTCTTGCTTCAGTCAAAATAGTTTTTCTTCTGTTTTCCACCAACATTCCCAGAAGGGGAGGAGATCTTCTCCCTCTTAACATCATAATAAAACTCCTGAATTCAGGTGAGCCAAGACTACACAGAAGTGTGTTCCCCATTGTTTTACATTATTTGTTTCCACCAGGGGAACAAAAACAGACAAAAAACCCAACACACACACACACACCATCCCCTGGAAAAAAAAAAGAAAAGCTTTTTTTTGTCAAAAAATATATTCACTGAGGAAGCAGAAATCCTCATTCTAGACAAGTTCTGCTTAACAGCATTTTTTCAAAGGAAGTTTCATGATGCACTTTACTGTCTGTGAGATTGTCAGCTCCTGTCAGGCAGTGATTTGACAGTGACTTGTAAGTAGAATCTATTTTTAGTTGGTACCACAGCCCCAAAGCATGTAATAGCAATGCATGAGGAGTCCTTCCCAGTATGGGTGATGCCATTTAAATTAGGGAATGGGTTTAAAGGAAGCGAGAAAAGGTGTTAAGTTAATAGGGACTACTAAGATGATTAGGAGCTGGTTGGAGAGTGTCATATATTGATCTCGAGATGTGATTTGTGCTTTGGCATTGGTTGTTCTCTGCAATTTGCCGTTTATTTGTGGTATTTTGCTCCTCTATCCCTTTTTCTACTAATATCACTGAGTATTCTAAAAAAGCCACAGCTTCTACTTGGAAAAACAAAGGAAAATTGGAAAATTTCTGTTTAGGGTATCCTGTTGAACAGAAGCCAGGTCAACTATTCTCATTTGCATCAAACCATTGGAATTATTACAAGTTGTTTTACTGTTTGTACTCACATACACACTGCATTCATCTGGATTGCCAAAAAAAGCCAGAAGCTGTAGCTATCATAATGCAATTGTCAGCTAAAAATATCTGCAAGGAGGAACTCCTACTAAGGTTGCAGAATGGTCACCTCAGCAACAATCTGGTAACTATATTTATGTTATTAAATGTCTCACTTCGTATAAAATCAGCACATTTAGAAAAACATGTAGATGTGGTGTAGCATGAAAGATGGTTGGCCCAAACCCACTCTTGCTTTTGGTGTCACCTTATCTCCAAGAAAGATTTTTGTGCTAAACTCTAAATTAGCATTAAAAAACCAAGATACATAGGGAAGCCAGGGACATGAAACCTTAGAGTTCTGGTTTTTTTTTTTTTTTTTGGAAGCATGTTGTAAATAACAAGTATCTGTATCAGAAAAAAAACCCAAACACATTTAATGCGCAGGTGTAAATGCTAACAGCATGTATCCTCCCACATCTCTTTCCACTTTTGTTCTTGGTACAGTCTTCTGCTGATATGTTGTGTAAGACAGTTTTCCCTGTGTTTATTTTCTGGGTCCCTAATTGCTCCCTTTATTTCTAGGCTTTTGCATGGCTTTTTTCAGAATAATACACTGCCTGGCTGCTCACGGGCTTAATTTGTCATCTTCCTGTTTTCTGTCCTTTGTTATCTACAGGTCAGTTTGCAAAGTTGAGTGCAATATTCTTCTCTCTCCTCTCAAGTAAGTATTATTATAATTTGGAAGAAAGTTGGGAATTAATCCTCATAATTATACATTTCAGTTGCAATGCATCTTGTGGCACCTGAATGTGTGTGACAATGCTGTTTCTTTCTCCTTTTAACCTGTGTTGGGATGCCTTGGAATCTCTCTGAATCAGTTCTAATTTATGGATCTGTAGTCCTGATCCCAAGGATTCCTGTTAAGCCACCACCCTTTTTATATTTTTCCTTTGTTGACCATCAGAGTGACAATGTGGGCTTTTGATCCCTGAGGATGATGATAAATACATTAACCAGTAGAGAGGAACCTTATCCAGAAGATAAGGAATCAGATTACATTTCAGGAGGCCTGAGTTTAATTCCTTTCAATGCTGTAGTCTTCCTAGGATAACTGAAATAAATGATTTCTGATGAGATCAGAACATCTACTCTATTGTGTGAAACAAGACTTATGCAAACATTAAAGAAAGCAGTCCACCAGCTGCTTAACCACAGAGGTGTCCTCAGATTTGTTGTGGAAGTTTAAAATGCCCCAATCCAAGTGGAAGGTACTCAGCTACTGGATAGAAGCTGGCAGTTCAGAAATATGGCAGGATCTATCAATTCCCTGCTGTCCCATATTCAGGTCATGTTCCTTACACGTGCCAACCTCACAGTTGCAGCACTGAGATTATTGCCAGGTTCAGCAATTGTGTTTCTCCTCAGGAAGACAGACAGCATCTATTTTTATGGAGTAGCCTGTTACTCTGAGCATTTTCCCAGAGAAATGGGAGATGATACATTTCTTCTTGCCCCTTCTGAAGCCGTGGACTTTGCATTTCTGACTTTCTAGGATAGTGCAGTGCCCTGCTGTGAAGAGGGCAGTGAGACAGTGCTGTCCATCCTGCTGAGACCCTGAGCCATGGGCTAACAGGGATGGAAAGGGAGAAGAAATCAGAATAGGGATCTCATTCTGGTCTGCAGACTGACCCTCTTCCCCAAAGCCAGAACTGAAAGCAAGCAGAGGTCAACAATCAAATGGACACTGGAGCTTGGGAGCAGGGTCATGTTCAGATGAGCAAAACCAGTGAACCAGCCTGTGCCAACTCTAACAGGAACTCGTATTGTTAGATTATGTGTGTCATGTTTATGCTAGACCTCCTTATTTATATGGCAGTTTTGATGGTAAAACTTGACCCTGATTCAAAGGGTTTGTGTCTTCTGATGACAGTAAAATTTGACTATTAAAATGTGTACCTTGTAAAAGCAGCTGCTAGTGGGTATTTCCAAAGCATGTCTCAGTGTCTCTCGCAGCTGAAGCAGAATAACTGGATGTGAAAAGCAAATAAACTGCAGTACCCAGAGTACTATAAACGCCAAATAACTGCTCATAAAAATTCTTCTGACATTGCTCCTCAGGTTACATTCATTTTCTCAGTAGCCTTGTTAAAAACATGAGCCATGTAGAGTTTCCTAAACATTGACAGCCAGAAAAATAAGTTTTCTTACTCTGTTTTGGTGCAGTTGTCAGCGTTAGATCAGGTCATATGAAAAGGAAAGTAGATCTTTCAACAGCATATGTGTGTGTATAACTATGTATATAGTGGAATATATATAACTGAATATAATTACAATTTGCAACAATAAGTCAAAAAAACGCTTTTTAATTAGAATTACAAAACTCAGGCAGTTCTATTTAAGGTTTCCTTTTTTGTTGGGAAGCAGTGTTAACATAGTGAACATAGTGGGGAAACATACTGTCCTAAAGGCCTTTCTTGAAAATATGTATCCTGTCTCAAATTAGCAGGTATTTGAGACTGAGATACCATCTCGTCTCCTGGATGATTTTTGAAACCTTGTCAAAAAGAAAGATTTTCATAGTGAAATTCTTTTTAGCTCCCAGGGGAGCCCTTTAGCCAGTACCAAAGACTGTAATATTCCCAAGAGCTGTAAAAGCCCAGCCCCACAGAAGTTAGCGTCCCAAACTGATGGACTTGGCACTTCACCTATATCCACAAGAACAAAATGTGATATGGTACATTATAATAAATACATCTTCACGTGGTAAGTGAATCATCTCAAGATTCACTCTTTTGTGAACATGGAAGTCTGTCATATCTTGTGTATTTTATTTGGTACTTACATTTCACAGCACTGGAAAAATAACTTCAAAATAGTTTATACCAGTCATAGTATCCAAAAATGCTTCTGCAGTTCTGGGTTCTTGCTTGAGGCTTAGAAGCTGTGTGAAGAGTTCTTTTTTTAAGCTCAATATCAGTCAATATTGATATCAATATCAGTAAATAATTACACAAATGCAGTTGATATGGCCCTAGATGGCCATAGGAAGTAGAAAGCCAAAAGACCTTCTTATCTCACACCAGTATTACATTTGTGCTTATTAAAATTAAAAAACAAGCTAACCAAAGATGGGAGAAATGAGATCAGTTTATTATAGCTCCTTATGAGTGATATTGCTGCTGATGGCCAGCCACAGAGTTTTGTTCATTTTCTCATTCGTCTGAAGTTGATGTTATTTGATTGATGATTTTTGCAATCTGTTTGCATTTGCATCTTTAAAAGTGCTATGTATCAATTTCCAGAATTGATTTTAAATAGCATCTAGTATCACAAATTCCCAAGAGAGCAAGTGATTCTAGTAATATATAAAACATAATTTAATTATGTTTTCAATTTACTTTTTATGTTAAATATACTTGATTTATTTTAGTAATGAAACAGAGCGAATTTGAGCTTGTTTTCAAGCTCAGAGCAGGTACTAGGCAGATCTTGACACCCGGTGAATCTGCAACTTTGATGTTATTTTACCTTTACCCCTTGATAGCATTTGTTTTTTTGCCAAGGGTAGCCAATGGGAGCAGAAAGCCTGCATGTCAGAAACTGGTTGAGAAGTTGTCATTTTCAGTTAGTTGCTGTTGACTTGTGCAGTGGACATGTCTTCACAAGACCTACAATTTCCCAGATTTTTCTAAAGCTGTGCTTTTTTAGTGCTGGCACACATTTGAATTGGTCATGCCTATTTCATTTAGATGCGTTATTATAACAGGAGAGAAGAATAGAAAATAGAAATCAGACCTAAGGCACCCACTGAGAAGGGAGTACAGGGAGAAGGCTTTATTGCAGGTTTTGTTCTCAGATTTTAACTGTGATTTTCCCTATCGTGACAAAAACATAGTAATTTCAGTTAAAGATTTAGTTTCATTCCCACTCCAAACCCTTTCACTCTCTCAAAACCTTATAACATGAACTGTTGTGGAATCTGAGGCTTTGGATGTCTGTGGGAGACATTTTCCATTGCAAAAGTGACTAAATGGTTTGTATTGAAACGGTGGATTTTTTTTTTCAAAGGCAAAAATCCCAAATCCTCTCAAATTTTTGATATGAATGCATGATTAAAAAATACTATGTATTCAGCTTGACTGTTTTTCCAAGACAAGAATTCGTGTTGAGTAACGCTTTCATATTTTTCTTATCTCTTGCCATTTTTTTCAAACCTCTGTTTTCATGTTTCCCAGCAGAGATTAGGAATATCATCAGATGTCAGGTGGTAAAACCCATGGGTCAAGGGAGAGTGTGGTCAGTCTAGTCCAGTCTTTTTAGGTTTTTTTTTAGTACAAATACATGAAAGCCAGCATTATCTGGACCATTCCATTTGAAAGTAACAGGAGGATAACAGCACAGTAATTTTCAAAAATGTCTGCTATGTTCACTCAGCTGTGTTTTGGTTTTCTTTACTTTTTGGTTTATTTTTCTCCCTAAGTCCTCCTCTTCTTAGCGTGTAGGTGTAAAAAACACTGTAAAAAACTGTGACCAAGTTAACAGGGAAGAAGGAGCTTAAATTTGTGAATTCATTTCTAAAATTACACAAGTGACAGCGATGTTTTTTGGAAAATCAGTGAATGACAAGTACCAGAAAATCGTGTGGATTAAGTAACAGAAGAGGTCAAGAAGCACTTTTATGTAATGACAAATCATACGAGTCTTAACTTGAAATTCATTTTGGTATTTCCAAAACCTTGCAATTAATTTAAAGTTCTGAGGTTTATTAGTACTCGTTACTCCTTGTAATCTCTATCCCCAATGCTGGCTGTGGAACAGAGAGAAGCCTGGAGAGAATTTAGAATAACCCTTCCCACAGTCCACCAAAGAGAAGTAATTTATCCAGAAAATATGAAGCAAACCCAAATACTTAACATTACTGTCAATGCATCTTAATGCATCCCATATTTCACAAGCCACTCTTATTTTTACTCTCGTGGTTTATAATGGTACCATCACGAAACATGAGATATTCCAAAATTTTTATATATTAGGAAAAGTTTTGTCACCAAAAGGGTTGCCAAGCATTGGAACAGGCCACCGAAGGAAGTGGTTGAGTCACCATCCCTGGAGATGTTTGAAAGGCATGTGGATGTGGCACTTGGGGACATGGTTTAGTGGTGAGACTTGGCAGTGCTGGGTTAATGCTGGATTGAAAGATTTTTCCAGCTTAAATTATTTTATTATTTACATAACCCTGAAGCTGATTCAGTAAACGTCAATCTCAGGCAGCTGAAAACTGACCTCTTCCACACCTTAGATTTGTATTTTTTGTCTGAATTGTGAAGAGCAAAACATTCCTTTGCTAAGATTACCAAATTAGTTTGCAGCCTTAAGAAGTACAGGTGCATGTCTGATTTTTAAAAGATATCATTTAAGATCTGCCTCAGAAATTTTTAATGAAACTCTCATTAGACTTGCAGTGCAAGTTTCCTTTGCATTTATCAACAAAATGTTAATGCTTGTCTTTTGTAACCATCTGACACAAGGAGACACTAAATTAAGATCATTTTATCATTTGGCATGCTTAGGTATTAAGGGGTGGGGTGGAAGTGTTTATGCTTGAATAATTAATACAATCAAATGGTCTCAGGAAGGAGAAGCAGCAAACTAGACTATCTGACCTTTCTTCATTCATTAGATTTAATTTAACTATTTTTGCCAGAGTAATTTGCATTTCATGTCCCATCTTTTTAGACCAGCTTTATGCCTGAAATGAGTAGAAAAGAATTCATGTGTGAGGAGTGGTATATTATACTGTGATTATTATATCTCATGCAATGCAGATTGGTTTTCTCTCTGAGGTAGTTCAAAAGAAAAAGAAAGGAGTTCCTTAACTTAGGAAGGGTGAAATGTGTAAAGTGTCTTTACAATAAATGTGCCAAAAGCAGAAGTTTGCAGCATTACCTGACTGTTGATCCTGACAGAGTTCTGAGAAGGAGCAGCAGTAACCTATCAAGCATTTTTCATTACCAGCTAAAACTTTGATGCCTCTTTTATAAGAATTATCATGCTCACTGATGCTTCAGGATACAGAGGAGCACCAGCAGAAACTGGTGCACCAGTGGACTAGGCTGTTCATGAACTGTAGCATCCAGAATCATCCTTTCAAGTACCTGCAGGCTTACTTAGGCACAGAAAAACATGCAAGACATTTACATGTGAGGGGAGGCTCATGATGGTATGTGACTGTAACTCAAGTGGCTGAACACTGCACAAGAGAGTTAAACTATGGTTTCACTTTCAATAGTCTATAGAGTGACCTGGAAGGGGAAAGTGGAAGGGAAAATGGGAACACTGCAAATTGTGTCAAGGCAGACTGAGTTACCCCAAGGTCCCACAACAGAGCAGGCAACAGTCTTCTTGCCCATGGCAAGGAAAGTTTCCAACTTCCCACATGCCCTGTAAGTTTCTGTTTACAGCTCAGAAACCTATGGCTCACCCAGGTAGAATGGCTTTCCTCCTTTTTTAACTCCTTGAGGGATAACCACAGGAATTGGCCAGCTCCCTTTTTCTCTCAATAAAACAGCAGTGGCAGGCTTTACTTGCTCTGCCTGCATGGGTGCAGCACATGAAACCAGCACTCTTTAAAAACCTTCCATAAACATTTCTCAACAGGGAAGCTGCAGTCAGACAGACAATGAAAGCTACGTAAGAACTGATGATGAGGAGAGCTGCTTTCGGACAGACGATGAAGAAAACTCAGCTGCGAACTTCACAGAAGAGTGGAACCAAGAGGTGCAGCGTCTCTTGACAAAAAAATCACATAACTAAGTTCTGAGGACTGTAGCACAGTACTTTTGTTCTAAGAGTTGTAGTTTGTAGATGTGTGTTTTTTGACAACAAGACTTTTGTTTAAAGCTAACTTATATTAGCGACATCTTCTGTAACATGGCTCATTACCGGCGAAGCAGACAGACTGACGCGCGTGCCGCTGTCACACACGGCGGCGCTGTTAATAACTCACGTGAACCCTTTGCACATGATATTGAACTTGTTCAGTTTACAATGACAATACTGTTTATAGTTAGAAATTTGATTTCTGAATACTTTGAGATTTTAGTAGATTGGTTTACTATACACTGTACATTTTTTTTCCACGGGAGAAATAAAAAGCGACAATTATGCATTTAACACTGAATGATTATACTCCTGAGTGTATATATCTAGTAGCCCAAAAAACAAAGTACCAGATTATATTTGCAATTTGTTTGCAAGTCTTTAAATTAAGGCTTATACAAAATGTACTAAAATAATAATATAATTAATAATAATAATAAACTTCTCTAATTTAGGGCTAATGTGTAACTTAGGAATGTTTCTTTCAAAATAATCTAGCAAATCAGCCATAGAAGTTAGTGTAAATATTTTTTTTCCAAATAGATATCATATACAAAAGGTGACATTCAAATGATATAGAATCTAGTTTTTAAATCAGCACAGATCTTCTTAAAACTGTGAACTATGTTTTGAAATACTCGTTGCTAAAGCTGCCTGAACTGACTGATGTTACGTATAATCCTCCATGGTATTGTTTCATTGATGTTTTAGCTTTAGTAAGCATGTGTTCAACAAACCAGCTCTTTCCATCTCTCTGCCCCTCCTCTTCCTCCCCACTCTCTTCTATAATGTTATTTTCGAGGCCTTCAGCTTTAAATGTACAGGCTTAAAGTGCGCTTGCAACTGTTTTCTTTTGATTTCCGAATGTGTACTGCCTTAGCCAGCCACCAGATGTTCTGCATGCCCTCTTGGAAATGTGTGGTGAGACTCTTTCAGAGCTGGATGGAGAAACAGCGATCAGTGAAAAGCACAAGAAGAGCAGTGGATTTTTTGGAAAGGACAGGCATACAGTTACAGAATTGGAGTTTCGTCCGGTTTAGTATTTTTCCAGTATCAAGGCATTTCAGGAGAAAGGGGACTGACCTGGCCATTAAGCAAGGTTAGGCAGTGAGGCTGCTGGCTAAAAAGCATTTGCTCTGCTGTGACTACAAACCTACAGATATTCCTGAGCAGGGACTGACACAAACTAGCATCAAGGTGCTCCCCAGAGCACCCTGCTCCAAAACAAAAGTAACACCTCTGTGGCATATGGCACTGCCATGCAGAGGAGCCAGAGCCAGGCCAGGGACAGCTGGAGCAGCAGCCAGGCAGGGACACCAGGAGCTGTTCCATGCTGGCTGCCCAGCCCTCCTGAGCTGTGCAGTGTTAGCTCAGGGCCAACTCTCTGCCAAGGTAACTTTACTGCCCTAATACAATATTGGGCTTCCAGTACCTGGCTGACCTGGAGTGACACTGTCTAACAGCCCTGAAAACAGTGGTGTTTCATACAGATATTTCACACCAGCACAGTTTGCCTACAGCAAGTGATGAGATACCCATCTAAAGCAGGTTAGCGTGGCTTGTCTGTCCTTGCTTTCATGGTGACGTGGATGTGTGCTGCTGTATTAACGTGAGATTGCTATGTAGCTCGACCCAGTAAGTCCACTTGTTTGCATGCATTCTCCAGGCTCGTGGCTGTTTCCCTGGGCACTATGTGTTAGGGAATGAGTATCTGTATGAAAGAGCTGCTGCCATGTTTCACTTTCATGTCATTTTATTGTGTATGCAGATCTCTGTATATCCTTGTGTACCTGGGCTTGTTCTCAGACATCCAAATGCATACTAAGGGATCCAGATATCTTCATGTAAGCTTTTTGTTTTTGCAATCACTGGTCTTTGCTCCTGGGGTATGTGCAGTCCTGGCAAGGCAAGCACCATATCCTCCACTGTCCCCTCCTCCAACCTCCTCTCAGGAATGAGTTAGCCTCCACTAGTGCCTAGCACTCCATGTTTTAAGCTACTCCAGTGAACCTGTAGACATTGCTGTCAGCTCAGGATTCCAGGCAAGCATTTCCTGAACAGGGAGAAAACAAGCTAGAACACAGCTACATGCAATGGCTGATTAATTCAACCCATGTCATGTTTAACTGTACCCAAAGTAATAGATCCCTCTCATCACCTTAATGTCTGTGTGCTCGTTATCACCACGCTTAAAATAGATGCACTAGACTAAATCCATTGCAAGAGCTTCTGAACTAGGAGTAAGAACTGAAGTTGACTAATCAAGCACCTTTCTTTTAGGCTGGTGTCAACAAGATGATCCCTTAGAGCTGGAGTTCTGGGTCCCTTATGCCCTGGCTCTCTGAGATGAAGCACCTCTTACTTAGCTCTGCAAATGTCTATTTTAAGCATTTTTCCAACTGTTAAGCTGGCTGCATTTTCACCCAGCTGGTCTTTGTCTGTTTGTTGAATATTATTTTGGCTGTGGTTTGCGGACATTAAAACAAACGCAGTTACAGAAGAGGTCCCTGGTATGGCCCTTTTCTTAACTACCAATGGCCCCACCACAGCCATCAAAACTCCGGGTGGTTTTACTGTCACTGGAGGAAAACCAGTGGTTTGGAATCAGGAGACAGGGATGTGAAGATGTATAGGGTCCTTGAATGTCCAAAGCGATGGTGGAGAATGGGTTGTCTGTAAGTAGTAATGTTAACTAAACTGCATAAAAAGGTGTGTGGCCTTTGTTGTGATATAATATGTATTTTCTTATATGCATGAGCCAAATTGTTGCATCATGATTTATCATAAGTGTGTCCGCCTTTACTTTCAATCATCATCTTCTCCCATCCTTATTGGTTCTTGGCAATTACTGTAGATAGACCTTGTAAATATTGCAACCTCGGGTTGCTGTAATCACATTGGTTCAATTCAGCAGACGGAGCTGTGAACAACGAGCACTCCACAGTGTCCTGAAAAATAAAGGGCATTTTTACCTTTGAACCAAAAAAAAAATAAGAAAAAAAAAGTATGAAGAGTTACATCTTGAGGCTACTAACTGCAACGCATTTTTAAAACTACTGTACTTGACACCACTTGAGACAGATACAGAGACACTAAAGATGTCACAATATTCATTGGTATTGTAACAGAACTGCTATTGTATGGGGTTTTTGTATTGCTGTTAAGTATTGTTTTGTGTGTGTGTGTTGGAACCTACTGGGGACATGTTATATTTTGAAGTGATTAAACTATTTAATTGTGTGTCTATATTTTGGAATGGAATTATTTCTTCATTAAAAAGATTTTTAAAAGGAATTCATGGAGCATCATGTTTGTGGCTTATTTTGGTTTTGCATGTCCTGTTCCATGGAGCCCAAACAGCATTTTTTTAAAGTAGAGAAGGAAAGTGTGTACCTGTGGAGCAGCAAGTAGTATTTGTCTCCTCCACCACTTCACGATAGAACTCCTCGTACCAGCTTCCACAGTGCTTTGAACTTGGTACCAAGCAGCACCTGCTTTCAGCAGCCCAGGCAGTTTCTTCTTTCTTCCTTTCTTAATTCTCTGTATCTAGCAGTTTCACAATCTGAAAATGAAGTTCCCCATCTGTAAAATACCTGCCCCTGTATCCACTTAATGACAATGAAAATGTCCATAAGCAGAAGATATCAGGACCTGACAAGGTGCGTGGTACAAACTTAGAAGGTGGTATGTGGTTCTCAGGAGCCTAAACTATCTGCAATAGTGTCATTTTTTCTTAACCACAGTGTTTCTCTGGCATTAGAAGGAACAAAATGTTGGAACAGGCGCATTTGGATGGCTTTACCATACACAGTCAGTCACATGTTCTTCTGTTGCAGATGAACAAAAAGTCTGCTTTTCGAATTACACTTTTAACATGTCTTTCCTTATAGTTGATGGTAATTGCAACTGGTTGCTAACCAGCATGGAGCTGCAGAGCAAGAGCTCGCACTTAAAGCAGCAAGTTTGTGTTCTGATGCAGTGCTTGGGGCTACCTCATCAGGACGTGGCAACATCTGGAGTGCCCAGTGGTGCAGCTGGGTGTGGTGGCAGCCCTTCCCAGCAGATGGACTGCAGCTGCTGTTCCAGAGTGTGTCCCGGACATCCAAAATATCCCCAGCTGTGCACACAGCATTGTTAGCTGGCCAGTGAGTTACACCAGGGAGGGGTCTGTTGGATGGAAAGCAGTAGCAGCACACCAAAAATACTCTCTATCTGCTCAGCAGATACCCCACTGTGCTGGGAGGCAGATGAAGCCCAGTCTGCTGCCTCCTTCAGCACTGACTGCTCTGGTAACCTGTAAATCACCAGGGTTTATTTGCCCTAATTCCCCTGTCTACAGGTTGACATTCTTCAATAAGGATGATCATTTTACACTGTAAATTGTTTGCCAGATCTGCTGAACTTCGCCTCCACAATCCCAGTCCAAATTCATATCCACAAGATTGTAATGTATGATGACATATAAGCTCATGAGGATAACTCTGTTTTGTCCATGCATAATCCCAAATTGCTGTGTTGCTTCCTAACCCACAATCAAGTCTATGGCCCCTGGGGAGCAAAGGAGCCAGTGAGAGCTAATTTATAGGCAAGGGGTGTTTTTCTCTTTGCCTCTTGGTTACTCTAACTGCTTTTTGCAAGGAAAATTGACTCATACAGGCGGAAATAAATTTGTTTCATTTGCAAAAGGAAATAAAATAGTAAAAATAAAATAAAATAAAATAAAATAAAATAAAATAAAATAAAATAAAATAAAATAAAATAAAATAAAATAAAATAAAATAAAATAAAATTTAGGCTTTAGATCTACGTTTGGCTTTAGATCTACAGGTTGGCTCCTTGGCTGCATCAGCATTGAGCTAGGGGACTAAAAGCATCTGGAATTTTCTGAAAGCACCTGAGAGTTTCATTCAGCAGCACACAATTCTATGGCTGCACTTCCAAAACTTGCTTAGGCCTGTTGCTCAGCAGTTGTATATTGTGCTGCAAGCAACTCTTAGGTTTGGGTGAAACTTTTAAGAGACTATTGCAGGGATATGAAGCTGAGTTTATCAGAGAAATACAATATGTTGAGTAGGAAGAGCAATCTCTATTGTTCCACAAAGAAAAAATGTATTGAAGAATTTCATATGCCTCAGGATCATCCTGTCTAATACCCCAGATAATCCCCAGATTAAGGATTCCCATTTGATTTCTCCTGAATTACTGCCACCAGTTGAGTTGCCTGTGGATTAGGACAGCTATGCCAAGCTGCCAGCACTGCACCACCAGGCCTTTGGCTGCAAAAGGCAGAGCAGCAGAATT